GCTGGTCAATACCTCGAGGGATGACCTCTTTCAAATACCAAGTGCTTCGATGTGTTGCTGGTTTATTTAATAGCCCAGATTTGAATGAGCGGCTCGCCGATTTCCAATTCCCGTTTGTCTAGTTATATTCCCTTATGCGCAAATACACTTGGTAAAGCCATTGATTCACCTTTCCCCCCTGTTATAACACACGTAGCGTTTATATTATATTTCATTTAGTCTACTCTCCGAGACATCGTCAATTCTTTCTTCACGGACATCAACGGACTGGTATTTACTCACTGAAAGATGTGACACAAGATCGAAATTAGTGTGGAGAACCCGAGCGCGTATACTCGGGCTAAATGCCAAAATTTAGCCGACCCCCGCAATTCCCGGATCGGCACTTCGCATTGTCTATTTTTCTAAGCCAAATCTCCGTCCGTAGACAGAGCTACGACTGAATCGCACTCTGTACGAGGACATATAGCTTGACAATCGCTAGCGAAACAGCGGACTGCGAAGTACTGGTCGCCTCACTTCAGACTAGATGCGATACCCGAGCATTTCCATTGGAGCCACTGTTAAGAATTAACCCAGCTCCCGCGAAAGCGGTCTCAGAGTACTGGTCTGTTTTTCTCTGCCGAGTCTCTATTTGAAGACAGAGCCCCCGAAGACACAGCTCTTGTCAGTCGTAAGACAGCAAACTGCCTGTTTTTCCTCAACTGAGTCTCTTAACGAAGACAAAGCCCCGACTGAACCATCCTCTACCGGAAGACGGATGTCGTCACCCTCCGCCCGAAGATAGAGGTCTGGTCTGGTCTGGTCTGGTCTTGTCACGAGCCTGGAACTAACTGACGAACATCTACTGACTCATTTTGAGTCCTTTATTTAAGGACTCTTATGTATTTAATTTATATTAACAGGGGTGTCTTATTAACTCCACAATATCCCAACTTTCGAGATTGTTTTTTTTTTCACTAGGAAATGTTTTATATTATTTCTTAATATTCACTCCCTACACTTTCTGGTGAGTTTGACATGTTCTGTACTTTGTATTTCTTTCGTTTTGGGTCAAATCTTGTTTTCTCCGTACGTTTCCTATTTCTAGTAATCATACTTGTACGTTCAAAAAATTATTGTGATATTGGAACTTCAAATATACCATATAATACTCGCATAGGTCCTTCCTTTCTTGCGGGCCTTTCTTCAGTAAACTCTTTCTTTCCAATCCCTTTTGTATTCCAATTTTATTGCTTTTACCAGATATATCATTTTTCTAATTCGTGACTTTATTATGCCGTCTAGCCATATGCCTTTTTCCCTCTTAAATACTTTGACAGGCCGGTTTTTTAGATGACAGCTAGTCTACCGCAGAAAGAAATGGCAACTTACCGCGGGAAAAAAATCTGCCTCGTCAATCATGTTTTGAAAGATACATGATCGCCTAAGCGTGTATCCAGCATGACACATGATTGGCTTAACTTGTCGAATACCTACTTAATTTTTCTTGCGCAGTGTATTTCTGCCGGTGACATGCCTGTCAGTGTATTGGAAATCGGTTTTATCAGGTATACTCAAGAATTTTTGTGCTTCTCAGCTCACTTTCATTATTCCTTTTTTTTCAAAGCTCTCTTTAAAATACCCAAAAAGCGTTTAACGTGCCTGTTTGCTATTGGGTTGATATGGTGGGGAAGTAATATGTTCAATCGAGAACATTTTACATAATTGTTTAAATTCGTAAGAAAATGACTTGTGTACCGTTATTCGAGACTATGGTATCCGAAATGCCGTATCTTGCAAACAGTTCGTGCAAAGAAAAAACAAAGAATTCACTGTAGCCGTGGAAGTTAGTTTTTGTACTGACAATTTAGACGATACCCCTAGTAAAGAAATACACAAAGATAATGGGATATGTTTATTTCACCTACGAAATCTATCTGCAGTCTTGAGCGCGGAGTATTTGTCTTTGCCTAAGGTTGTGATTTCGTGGTAGGTTAGTTTGCTGCCAGATTACATCTTCTGCAGAATATTACTAATTTCTTTTCAATGTCTTACTACCTTTTGGTACAATATTCATAAGATTGCATCCTTGAAATTCCTGGATATCCACTATGAAATTCATGTAATATCCACTTTTGTAATATGATAGGATTGCTTACATTTTGTGTAAACATCAGTACTCTGTCACATCGCGAGTAAGCGTTCCTTTCTAAAAATCGTCTGTCTTACATTCTTTTATTTGTTTTTTTTTTTTTTTTCGAAATAAACATAACTTTTTCTGTTATTACTTTTATTTCTTCCAGGGTAACTGTTACTTCGCGTACTACAATACATAATATATTTAATTTCTATTTCACTTGTTAATAATGCAATAAGTTTTCGCAAACGTTTCAGTATATATTGGTATCAATCTTGACCAACCATCAGCATGTCTTAATTTTTTGGACGGTTTGTATTGAATCGTGAAATCGTAATTTAATAAGATGGTACACCAGCATAATAATCTATTCACTCTGAGTAGGAGGTCCATTTGTCTTATCCAATTCAATTTGTAATACAGGCCGGTGTTTCGTCTGTAAACAAAACCTCCATCACTGTATAAATCTGTAAAATAAAAATTTTCACTGCAAAATTGTTGATAATGCTCCTTTTTTCGATCTGGTTGTCGTTTTTTTTTTTTCTGTCGGCAGTAGCGAACGTGAAGCATGTGCGACGGCTTTCATTTCAACATTGTCCTATTGATGTAGAAGTACCTCTCCTATACCATAGTCACTAACATCTAAAGCCAATACGATTTCTGCTTTTGGGTCGTAGTGCGCTAATAAGTCTGACATTAGTATTTTCGTGATTATTTCAAATGCCTTCTCATACTTCTCAGTCCAATTCTACATTACGTCTGTTGTAAATTGTTCAGTGCAGTTATCAAATTATGCATGTTAGGGATATAGATTTGTTAATATTTGCTAGTCTCAGAAATTCTCGTAACTTATTAACGTTTGTTTCAGGGGATATAATCTTAATTGCAGTTGTCCTCGACGGATATATTTGGCGTACTTTTTTTTTTTTTTTTCAGTGATTCGTCCTAGGTACTTTAGTCAAAAACAATTCGCACTAATCCTCAATGATTTTAAACCCGTATTTTTTTAAAAAAACTCTTTTCACATACCCGATATGTTGTTTCTTAGATACACTTTTAATTAATATATCATCCAGATTAGCAACTACGAAGTTACACTCTGCAAACATAGTATCCATAGCTTGTAGAAATATACCTGAAGTCACTTTTATCTCAAAGGGAATTCAGTTGAACGTGTACAATCCCTTCT